TGGGAGAATGGGCATCGCCTTCAGCAGAGAAGAGCTTCTGAAGGCCCAGCAAAGTGACCCGTTTTGTCGCGAAATATGCGACGGTCTCAGAGAGATGGAGCGCCGTGACGCTGCTTGTCCTGCAGCGGGCGCCGATAACGACTGTCTCGACGAGACGGAGCGCCGTGACGCTGCTTGCCCTGCAGCGGGCGCGAATAGGGGGCTCGAACCAGCGTGTGTCGCTGAGTCCCCTGCGGATTCATATTTGCTGGACCATGACGGGCTCCTGCTGAAGTATATAGCCACTGACGACGAGTCCATAGACCCGTTTAAGGTGGTTATGCCCAAAAGTCTGAGAGCCGCACTGTTGCGATCCTCTCACGACGAACCCATGGCTGGTCACCTGAGTGGCTCGAAGGTTTTTGCAAAACTGAGCCGCGTTGTGACCTGGCCCGGCATGAAGCGAGACATTTTTCGCTACTGCCGTTCTTGCCGCGTCTGTCAAACGGTGAAATCAAGGGGTGGCAAACCGCCCGGTCTGATGAAACCGATTGTCAGTGAGCGTCCGTGGCAAGTGGCCACCTGCGATCTAATGGGACCATTTCCCAGAAGTAAGCAGGGGTTCATTCACCTGATGGTAGTCGCTGATCACTTTTCGAAATGGGTGGAACTTTTCCCACTTCGGAAGGTGACAGCGCGAGCGGTGCTTGAGAAGCTGCAGGAAGTGTTTTGCCGGTTCGGCTTCCCGGAAAGGCTCATCACTGACAATGCTTCGTATTTCACCGCTCGGGTGTTTGGTGTCACGTGCCGTTCCCTCGGAATTGATCACTGCACCACTTCACCCTACCATCCCCAGTCCAATTTGACGGAGCGCGTCAATCGTACGCTCAAACCGATGTTGGCGGCCTTTGCCGAAAGTCAAAGGGACTGGGCAGACCATTTGAGTGAGCTCGCGTTCGCTATTCGAACATCCGAGAGTCGCTCAACTGGTTTCTCGCCCGCCTTCTTAAATTTTGGAAGGGAGTTGGCAAATCCGGTGACCTGCGTCACTCAATGCCAGCTCGAGGACGAGGAGGCGCCGGCAGACTGCTCTGCTTATGCGTCGGCACTTCGGGACAGGCTTTGTCGAGCTTTCTGCAAAGCAAGGCAAAGTTTGGCATCGGCCAGGGCTCAGCAGAAGGCCCAATATGACCGCAAGCATCGCGACCTAGTTTTTGAGGTGGGCGATCTTGTCCTGAAGCGCAACCACGCCCTTAGCGATGCCAGTAAGGGGTTCTCAACCTCGCTCGCTCCTAAGTGGCTTGGTCCGTACCGAGTGGAGAAAGCTTGCACTCCACTCGCGTACTTGCTGAAAGATCCCCAGACGGGAAAACTCAGCCGTGCCCATATCGCAGACCTGAAACCCTTTGTATCACGGTCTGACGAGCTCGCGCCAGAGCCCTGCGGCACTGCGCGCCAGCAACGGGGCACACCCGGAGCGGCGGACCGCATTTGGACCCCGCGCTGGTATAATCTGAGGAAGCGGTCACCTTTGTGATTTCGCGCCGGACGGCGGACTTCTCCGCAACCGAAGGCCCTCAGTTTACTGTCTAGCCTCAGTATAGGTTAGCTTCTTTACGGCCTTTTCTCGTAAAGAAGTTGACCCCGCCATGTCTGCTGCCAGTGTTTCTTTTTTTTTTTCAAGTGTTCATGTGTATTTTGTGTTTCTTTTGTCTAATATTAAGTGTTATCTGTGTTTTATGTTTTTTCGCCAGATGTTGAGTGTCGTTTTGCTCTGTTTTTACTTTTTTTTCCGTATTCGTTTCGTCTACCGCGAAGGGAGCTGTGTGTGACCTTGTGTGTCGGTGCTTGCCGGGAGGGAGAGAGACGAAGGACGCTTTGCGCCTACGCTCGCGCAGCCGTCGGCGGTGTGTGTGCGTGCGTGTGTAAGTGCGTGACGCTTCAGTGCGAGCCCGCGAAGAGTGCGTCATGGCTGCCCTCCATCGACGCGGACACTGGAGGTGCTGGGGGGTCATTGACCCACTGACGTCAGACCATCTGGCTGTGCTCTGCTCTTGGCCGTCGCCGAAGAAGCCGTGCTGCCTTTTCCACCATGGCTCCTGCGCGAGGCCAGCTGAAAGCAGCTATATGCTGCCGGCCAACGCCAGGGCGCCTCGCAGCCAATTTTGGTTCGGCCTCCCTGACCACCGGAGAGGCCCGGCTTCCCGCAACGTCCAGCTTCGTCATCGAGCCGGAAATGCGGGGCCTCCGAACAACCGAAGCGGCTTTCGTCGGACTCGCGGCTTATCAAGAGCAGCAACGAGCCATCAGTGAGCCCCCTCCCGTACCTCTGACCTCGCACTCGGGCATCGCACCCAGCGGACACTCACGCCCTTTTCCGCCCCTCCGCGCAGTGGACGCTATCCCACTTCGGTACCAACACGAACACTAGTCCCACTTTTCTGTGCTCCCTTCCGCAGTTATCTTTATAGTGTCGTGTGTTTATTTTGTTATTTATGTTTTTGTTTCTCCTTTGTAATCGTATTTTTTTTTAAGCAGCGGTAGCAGGGCTGGACTGAGGTTAGCTACCGCTCATAGCAGTGTTATTTTAACTGCATGGGTGACGTCCGGCTGCCTTTTGCAGACCGGTAAAGGACAAGTTTAGGAGAGGGGGATGTGGGAATTGAGGCTGGCCCGCTGCCTTTGCGCGGGCTTTCCCACCTTTCTGCCATTCTCATGTCCCGACATGTCTGCCCTCCTTTGCTGTCTGCCGCGCCGGGAAGGGTGGAGTGACGTTTAACTCCCTCACCCGGTAGCGGATGTTGACTGTGGCGCCGCGCGCGGGGACTCGCAAGAGGTTTTCGCGCGCTGCGTCGGGAGCGGCGAGTACAGTCCGGGACTTCAAACGGTGAGCCACGCATTCTTTTCCGTCCGTCGAGTCCCGTCGCTCGGGGCTCGTCGGACTTCGCTGACGGCGCCTCGCGCCCGAGTCGAACGCTCACCTTTTGTTGCCCCGCTGCGTACTCACGGCCGAAGGGCGGTACGGTGTCCTAGTGCGTGGCCTAGCTACGCCGACCCGTCTCCCTTCGAAGCCAACGCGAGCGCCTTTGCCCTCGCTCGAGCAACCGGGCCCCTTTGTCCCGGTGTCTCCGTGGATTACCTTTACCGCGGAGACCTGCTCGTGGCACCCTGTGTAGTACTTTGTGCCCGTGGCGTGGATAAGCCTACTTGCTTTCCCGCCGCGCCTTTTTTGCAACGGGCTGTACTGCGTTTGGTGTTGCCACAATAAAGTGTTGCGACTTGAGCAGTATCGTGTTTCCCGCCACGGCGACGGTTAACGCGTGCCCTGCGGCTCGCTAAGACCGGACCCACGCTGGTGGCCGTACTCCTTCGGGATACGTGTACACCACACCTTGATATAACGAACATAGATATAGCAAAATATCGACTATAACGAATTAAATCAGAAATTGTCTTGTAATAGACACAGTGTTAGAAATAACCATTATGACGAATTTTCAGATATAATGAACATAATTTCTTATAAGATGCAACCTTGTTTTAATGAGGTTTGAGTGTACATGCTTGCCTGTCCATGGTGATAATTGGACGGCACGCACTATACCATCGTGAGGGCTTGCCGCTGTTCGGGTTTCATTTGACGCAGATAGTACATCTGTCATACCTGGGACGTGACCTGTGTGATATTGCATCAAAATGAAAGCTCTGTAATCCGAATTTCACGGGTTCAGATAAAACGTCCGAGTCAATCAAATGCCAAACTATCGAACGTATCTAGAGAACAATCAACAAATGTTTGTTGCATCAATTCACTTTCATTTTCCTGATGAATATTTAAATCGTGTTCTTATACTTTGCCTTGGGACAGTATGAAAACCGCAGTTTTTATCATCCTGAAACATTGTTTTAAATGCAACTATGGGAACAGACTCCTGCATTTAATTAGCCCCGATTCAGCTAGGAACCGTTCCTATATTGCATACCATGTGCACGTGACATGGTGGATTGTTTGAATTAACCGGGTTGCGGCTGAACATGACTGAATTAACAAGAGTTTAATGCCGCTAAACAGCACATATGCTTGTTGGCACCAGGTAACATGTCTGAATTATCTGACTTTCTAAATAAATGAGGGTTGAATTAAATAAATTTTACTGTACTTATCAGAGGGGTTCAGAGTGAAAAAAGAAACAAAGAAATGGTAATAACAGGCTCATATCGATGCTCATCTTTGTGCATGTGTCAGCTTTGCATGACATGTGCATGTGTCAGCTTTTTGTGCAAAATTTAGCTTAACAGCCAATAGGAAACAACAGAAAGGGGTTGTAGGAAAAATGAGGACACTTTGAGGTATAGCAGTAGTTTTTTATTGGTTTGATGTCATGCACCTTCATTCAATGAAAGTTAAAAAAGTGTAGAATAGCCACTGCTCTTTTAACCTTTTACAGCCGAGTGTCGAAAAAGTTCGAAAAATTAAGTCACGGAATGTGTGCACCTTTAATGCCGACTGTCAAGTACTCACGGTGAACGTAGCTTTCAGCGTGAAAAATCTAATGCCACCGCCTGGTTTGAAATATTTTTTGCTATAACCATTTGTTCTGTAGATGATGGTGGAGACCGCGAAGCGCGTGCAACAGCTCGAGCTCACTTCGTTCTTTTTGACCTGCGTGATGCAAGTTCTATCTTCAATAATTTTGTTTATTAAGAGTGTACGCACCAAACAAGGTGGCACTTGACATGTTACGTATAGTTCTGAAGTTTGTTGTATTTCCAGGGTGGCTGGCTTCTGTGGCATATGGAGAATTCACGTGAAAGTATGCATTAAAGTTGCATTTTAGATAATTCCACTGTGGAATCATTTAATGGTTGCTATTTAAAGCTGGAAAATGAAAAAAAAAATTCATTTTTTTAGTCGTCTCATAATTCAGGCATTAAAGTGTTCAGATTGTTGTGCCATAGTTTGTTGCGTGAAGGAGTCGGCGTAGAGCATGGCTAATGTGGCTTCTCGTGGCATCGTGTAGCTGCGGCCACGACACTGCGCACGCCCCTTGCGAGTGGCGGCACAGCGTCTAGCCACAGCCCGATCCTGAAGGCTCAGCTCTCAGCACCGCTCCGGGCTCTGACACCACCGGGGAACCAGGTTTCCCCGCCTCCTTCGCCAGCCACAACGGCCCCGCAGGTCGTGGGCACGCCTCCGGCACCTCCGCCGCCCAGCGGTGCGCCACCTGGCGGGTCGAGCAACCTCATCAAGAGCTTGTTGGCCAACAAGGTCAGGCTGTTTGCTTGCTCGTTTGACTTGGGGTTTCAGGGTAACATAGGGCACTGATGATGTGAGACAGTTCAGTGGCCTGGAATGTCCTGCCCCGTAATTGCAGCCATCACGTGTATATCAACTTTTGTGGACAACGTAACTGCACTCTGTCTGTCATGAAAATGGCTCTTTGTAACCTTCATTTGTTAACCCTCCCCTTATGTAATTGTCCCTTAACCGGGTTCCGAAAGGTATCAAGTGAAGGGAACTGATTTCAACCCAGCATTTGGCTGTTATTAGAAAGATTATTGCTCACGTGAATGGCACGCTGGAAGTCAGCTATTTAGCATGGCAATGAAGAGTCTTTACATGATGTGTAAAATAAATGAGAGCTCAGTTAGTTGTTAAGCATTCATTTTTAAAAGACACAGCGAGCAAACATACAAACATGAAACAAGTGAAACAAACTCTGTTCGAGCTTATAGGGGTTACTTTGTAACTAACAGATCCGCGTGTGCGAAACTGTCCCTTCTTGGTATTGCGCCATGCACCAGTGGAGTGTTCGTCACATGCTACTAGCACTGCACAGCATATAAGTTGCAGCTGGACCCCGAACCCAGGGTTCGCAGTGAGCTCTGATCACGGCGGGTGTCAGGCAGACGAGTTCTTTGCCTGACACTGTTTTTATAGCGTCAAGCCCCACCAACACATGACAAAGTATAATAAAAACAAAGTGGGGGATTAGTTCTGCACGTCAACGTGAAAAAGACACCAAATTGAGAAGTGCACGAGAGAGGGAGAGCGATAAGGCTTGCACTTGCTTCTGGTGGCTTTGGACTCCGACCCTGGAACAGTGGGTCACCCTCGAGAACCAGGCGTTGCGCAGGAGGTGATGGCAGCTAGTTGGCTCCCAACTCGATCGAGCTGTGTCCGTCGTGGCTTGCCAAGTCAAAAAGAGAACGAGCCCCCCCCCCACCCTTGCCCCCCCAAGAAAGCTACGCAAGTTCCATGGGTTTGGAGAGGAGTCTCGCCAGAAAAGGGCAAGGAGGGTAACGGGGCATCTCGGCTTCATCCAAGGAGCAGGGTGTGAAGGGCTACGGGAGCCACACAGTGCAGCCTCCCCTGAAATTGCCCTTGCCACAGCGTACACAACCTTTGCGTGAAGCCGAGGCGCCGCCGATTGAAAACAAGCGGTTGCGCAGGCAACCCTACAAACTACACTTAAACCTCATTATAACAAAGTTGCATCTTGTACGAAAATAAGTTTGTTATATCCAAGAATATTTTTATAAGCGTTTATTCCTAGCGCTATATCTACTTCAAAACTATTTTTCACTTACTTTGTTATAACCGATATATCATTATATCGGGTTTTGTTATATCAAGGTCTGAGCGTACTGAACAGGCACACAGTGGCGTTAGAGGAAAAAAAAAAAAGGCACAAAAACTTATCTGAGCAGGCCCAGGTAGTAGGCGAAGCTATCGATACAGCACACTTAAGGGTCCACATGAAGGACAACTGCTAAAGCATTTGATATCTTCTTTATGCAAGATAATCAGCTGGTGGCTCCAGCATGCAGTGTTGCTATTATTGATAAGCCGTGCCTCAGTCATTAAACACGATTTTTTGTTTTTGTGCCGGCACGAAACTGCACATTCAAGGAATTTCGGGGTGCACTTACTCTCGACAGTGTTAAGTATAAGGTGAGCCTCCGGTTAATGATCTCCTGTGTTTCTCTAATTTCTGATAACCACAGCGACTCGTCGGTCCTATGGTGTCTTCACTTCTTTCTCGTGTTCGTGCTTACTCACCCGGTCTTTTAGAATGAATGAATTTTGGTTACAACTCAAGAATATATACACTCAAACTATGATATAACGGTTGCTTGACCATGTAATTGTCATTGGGCAGTGGGTGGGACTCGCATTTATTCTTTAGTTGTAGCTGGTTATAGGTATCTATTGCTCGGTGATTAAGTTTGGATTTGTGGGTGCTGCACTTCTGTAGTACCCTAGACGCGCCGAAATAGCTTATTTAAGGATGTCATCTGGCTCTGCAAGTGCTTCTTTCCAGAAAGGTGGGTGCTTGTGGACGGCATGAAAAATCGAAAGTTTCCATTAAAAGAGTTCATTGTTGGATGAATTTGTGCTTGGACATGGAGACCATTGTGATTAGCGCAACAAGACCAGTCAAAAGAGGAGGCGAGAACAGACTCAAGTTTTTAAAATATAAATTGGTTAGTGTGGTGTGCCTGCGCAGCTTATTGATATATAAACCTTTGGATCTGCCTTCAACAAAATCAGTTTTTATATGAACAATAAAAAAAAACCTCTTTGCTCATTTATTTCTTTTTGTTGACCTGTCACAATGCATAAATCACAATTAATTAATCTTTGAGGGTTTTGACATACATGGAGGTCTTGAGGTACTGTGCAGGGAAATATCAGACTCTATGGACTTTTCTCTTAGAAAGTGAATTAAATGATGGACTGCGAGCTCTGCTGCTAAAAAAGGTGCTTAGGCCAGAATGATTGCTGGCCTGATGCCTAGGTTTAACTCTGCTTGTAGCAACATAACTGCCACCAGCACCAATTATTAAATTTAGAATGGCATACACAGTTCAGTTCTGTACTCCGTTATAACCTAAAAGAAAAAAAGCGAGCTTCACTCACACCGTTAGGCAGGCCTGCTGAAGTCGTGCTATCTGGTTGTCACTTCAAGTACTTTCTCTTCGCTATTACGAATACTATGCACATTAAGAGTTGAAAGTTCGTTGTCACTACCTCGGCCACATGTCTGGCTGAGCAGCGTCGTCAGAATTCCTGACAAAATTTGTCATGATATTCAAGTTTCCTACCTTATATTCACAATAGAAATGTATCTGTGTGGGAAAGTCAACTTCACAGGTGCTTGATGCTACAAAAAATGAGTAAGTGCTATTGGATAGAGCATATATGCAAACTTTCTGTGAAAGTAGCAGCGATGGCTGTGGGCGAAGCTGAAATGTCTTCTGTGGCTGTAACTGACTATAGCATAGAGATTCACCCGGTCTCACTCATTTCCACATTTACGTGCCTTGCAGGTGTCCCGCAACCTTCAGCGGCACCAGCAAATGCAGCAGCAGCAGCAGCAGTCGACGGTGGTGACAAGTGCGGATGCAGAGGCGACACCGGTGACAGCCGGGACACCCGTATTGGCCAACAACGCTGCACTGACTAGAACGCCCGAACCAGTCCGACGAGAAGTGAACCCAATCTCTACCGTCAGTTCTCATCAACCACATCACCACCACCAGCCCACAGTCACAGCACAGTCTTTCAGCTTCGTGTCAACCACGTCTTCAGCCGCCTCAACCGTGAGTACAGGTGCACCGACGGTCCAAACCACTCAGCTGGCGACAACCTGTCTCGCGTCTGCGCTCCAAGCCAAGCTCCACCAGCAGCCACAGGCTTTGGCCCAAAACTCAGTCCAGCCTCAAACCCAGGGGCAGGGTCTTGGAACTGCTTTGCACCTGCGAGCTCAACCGCACGTTCAAGTGCAGGTTCCGACCGTTCACACACAACCTCAGATTCAGGTGCAGGTGCCGACATCAGCAGCTCAGGCACAGCCGGCGCAAGTGCATGTGCAGGTCCCAACTTCAGTTGCTCAGGCGCAGCAGGTTCAAGTGCAGGCGCAAGTGCCAACCTCGGCAGTTCAGACTCCGCTTGCGCAAGTGCAGGTTCCAACGTCGGTGGCTCAGATGCTGCAGACCCAAGTACAAGCCCCTAGTTCAGGGATTCAGGTGCAAATGCAGGTACCAAGCTCTGTGGTACATGGGCAGCAAATTCAGGTGCAGGTTCCAACCTCAGCTGCTCAGGCTCAGCAAGCACAAATCCAGATGCATGTACCAACTTCAACAGTTCAGGTTCAAGTTCCAACCACGACGTTTCAAGCGCAAGTTGCAACAGGTTCAAACCAGGTGACGCCATCGTCTGCACCAGTGCAAGTCCAGCTGTCGGCAGCTGCAGTGCAGGCTGCGCAACAGCGTCAGATTCAGGTGCAAGTTCCAATGGTTCAAACACAGCAGCACATTCAGGTTCAGGTTCCCACTCAGCTATTCAGTCACAGCAGGTTCAAGTGCAAGTCCCTAGTTCAACCTTTCAGCAGCAGCAAATTCAGGTGCAGGTTCAGAGTTCAGCGCTTCAGCCACAGCAGGTTCAGGTGCAGGTTCCGAATTCGTCAGTGCAGACGCAGCCGGTTCAGGTTTCGGGAACCCCCGCCGGGCAGGCGCAGTTTCAGCAGCAGGTGCAGGTCCACACCGCGCCGGTCGTGCAGACTCAGGTTCAGCAGCACCAGGTTCAGGTTCAGGTGCCGACCCAAATCTGTCAATCGCCACTGCACACACAAGTTCAGACGGCAGCGGGTCCAATGTTGATTCAGTCTACACAGCCAGCGACAATGGTGCAAGGACAACCTGCGCAGGTCGTGGTATCCATGGCACCCACTGGTCAGGTACCGGCATCTATTTCGGTGCCGTCCGTCTCTGTCCAGACGTCAATGCCTATACAAACACCTCTGCAAGTCACGTTCTCGACGCCAGTTTCCACACCTCTTCTGGCCTCAGCCATTGCCTCCGCCCAAAGTTCTGTGTCATCTTCAGTGTCTGCGGTCGGCCTGACTCAGACTTTGCCGAGTCTCCCTACCAATGTGACGTCTAACCTGAGCTCTGGCCAGACTGTTGTAATGGCTCCGAACCTGGCATCGAACTTGAGTGGAGGATCTGCGGTGGTTGTTGGTTCGGCGCTGCCTACGAACCCGGTCATGGCACAAGGCACATCTCTGGCTGCAAGCCTGGCCTCTGGTGGCGGTTTGCCGCCGGGAGCTACGATCGTCATGGTGCCCAACTCGGCCACGGGCATCACAACGGGAATGTTGGTGGTGCGGCCGCAAGGGAAGATGCCACCCGGCGCGGTCAATGCCGCCCTTCTAGCAAGGAGCCAAGCCGTAGCCAATGCCATCAATGCTGGTGCCAGGTGAGTGAGTGGCTCTGTGGGTACTAGGCTTGGCTGTGTACATAATGTTAAGGCTGATGATTCAATTTGAAAGTAAATCATATTCATGCAGACACAGTATTGTGATGACCTGGTCTTGAACAGCTGCTTTATAGTTCGAGTCCATTAGCTTGTTCAAGCTTTTATACCTCATTGTATAATGTGCTTGAATACTTTTTGTACTATTGAGCATAGTTTCCTGCTTTTTAATTCAGTCACAGGTTTGATCCCCAGTCATTGTAATGAAACTTTCACGGGTCAGAATGCTAAATAATTCATATGCTTGGATTTAAATTGAATGCGCAATGAAGATTCATAGGCCAATGAAAAGTAAAGAAGTGGTGTTTGTCTGTCTGTAAGTTTTAATAATGGGCCACTAGAATTGCTCTGGAATTCCTACCCCGTCCACGCCACAGGTATGCCTCATTATTGTATCATAACTAAGGCTAAGAAATGCCCAGACTTTTTTATCTTTTCAAGCTTTGAGCTCAAGTGTCGAGTGCATTTTTTGTTCTCTACAGGGGCCCGCTCATCGTGTCCACACGGCCCAATGGCTTTCAGCGAGACATTGTCATGGAGGTCTCGATGCCCCCCGAGTACAAGCAAGAACTGCCTCCTACTGCGCAACAGACGTCTGCGATGGGTGCGGATCACTCCATCCACAACCACGTTGGAGAGAACGGTTCAACGGTCAGCGCGACGACAGCCCACAAGTGCATTGCCATTCTTCCGAGCACGACGACCACCACCTCTGGAACTGCCGCAGAAACGAAACTTGTCGAAAGCGTAGTGTACAAGAGCTCGCCACTTCTCAATGGCCTTTTAGACAAGGGCAAAGTTCCGCTGGCCATGGATTCTGCGACGTTGCAGAATGGAAGCGCGGAAGACGAGACGGCGCAGCACGCTGACAGCTCCACTTCGATGGTGATATCGGATGATGTTAATGTAGCAGTGACTAACGGGACAGGCACCCCAGCAAAGACAACGGCTTCGTCGGATCTGTCGCCGATTCCAGGACATCGTGGGGTCAGTGGAGAGTGCGTCGAAAGTAATTTCGCGCTCTGGTGTTGAGGTTGCCGCTTCGCCAGCCTTGAAACGGGCGGCGGAGCCAGACGGGGGTGGAGGCTGTGTGAAGCGGCTCCGGCTGGATGATTCGAGCGAGTCGACATTCCAAGCGGGGGAGACAACCGAGAGGCAGGGGTCGCCACCCGCAGCTATTGTGCCTGCCTCTCAGCAGCAGCCTGTGGTCATGATGGCGCGAACCGATGGGGGAGGAACGCAGCATGTTGTGGTCCAGCAAAGCGTGATCCAGCAAAACTTGACGCAGCATGCTGTAACTCCGCAACTGGGCGGCAGTGTGGTCCAGCTCGGCTGTGCCCACCAAGCACAGGTGCAGCCAAAGACGCAGTCGCAGACGTTGTCTACCCCATCGGTGACGCCGCAGGTGGTGCGGGTGGTTACAACGACTGCTGCAGCGCCAGTTCCACAACCCAATCTGGTGAAACTCTTGAGCACGATGGACTCCTCAAAGGCTGTTGTCACTACGGTGGCAACAGTAAACTCCACATCAACGACAAGTGCGACGTCAACTGTGGCAGCAGGTTCGACGATCCCGGTGTCCACGCAGCCTGCAGAAGTGAAACCCGCTGCAACGGCATCTAAGACTGTAGTGGTTGATGGGGAGAAGAAAGGCGGCAGTGACGGCAACGTCGTCTGCGGCTGCCCACCACCATCACCACCATCATCACCATCACAAGGCAGCGAAGTTAGTCTACCATTGCGAATGGAAAGGGTGTGATAGGTGAGTGCCCTTCTAAGCATGAGTTGAGGGTCTGTAGATGTCAACAGGGTCCTTTATAGAGAGGCATGCTTACTCTGTATGTGCTATACGTAGTTAGGTTCAACTGAAGAAGGAATGGGAAGAAACATCATCAGCTGAGCCAACATGTAATGTGATCTTGCTTTGACCAACCAGGCATAAGCACTTGTATTTCAAATCTAGTGGTGGATTCACGACACTATCGCATCTAGCTAGCCAGTCATTGGCTTGCACACTTTCCTAACCACTTATGATCTCTCTAGCCACTCATATACACAAGGACCCAGTGAGTTCTGTGGGTGCCCCATATTTATAATGTGCGTCAGTGCTTATGTTACACGATGAAGCAACCCTGCCCCCCACTGGACAGCCATGCGAACGAACGCTCCGCAAATAAAACTCAAAACTTCCCAACCGAAAGTCTGGCAATGGGAACAGGTTTCGCGCTTTTCCTCTCTTGGAAATTTGAGTGAATTTCTTGTGAGACGTTGAGGATACTTTCCTCGATGGTCCAGAATGTCTACAGCATGTGAAGTTCAGACTGAGGAAACAACTTTATCAGGTACAGACGAAGCTGTGAGGCGTGTGGATGCTGTTGTCTGCAGCTGCTACGTCACGTTAGTTTCACACTTTAACTCACGTTTGTTTTATAGGAAGGACCTAGCATTCAGTTTAACTCTATTAGGCATCATTAAGGTGTGGATCTTTGCATACTTCTACAGAAAAGTGTGCCCAAAGCAGCCCGCTGGGTGCTTTAGACAAATGTGATTCTGTCTATACGTTTTCTGTTACATTAGTACTAAACGTGCGAGGCGTGTTTCATGGACACGATTATCTCTTGTCATTGACATATGGCTTTCTAAAGAATGCAGCAGTCATTTGTTGCCACATACATTGTGTGTTTGTACGTGAAGTTTTGTAAGAACTGAGCATTTGAATGTGGATCGCATAATAATAGACTTCTCCCTGTTTGGAAACTGTGTGACGTCACTGTGAACACCCCGCCTACCATCCCCTACCTTGGAGCAAATGGTGGTTGGAAACTAAGTTCTGCAAAGCAGTGTTGCATGTCTTCCACAGAAGTTTCTGCAAATTGTTATTTTCTAAAGTCACAGCTTTCAAAAAAAAAGGGTCACTGCCTATAATGCATGATTATGTTGGATCAACAGAATTCTGTTGATGATTGGCGCTTATTTCTCATCTCCCGAAGAAGGGAAGGAAGGGGGGGGGGGGAGCATTTGCTATTTGCTAGGGTGGAGGGCATTTGCTCAGGTGGGGGTGGGGTTCGCTCAGTATTTTACAGTAAACCGCGCATGACCGAATCTGGTTGGTGAAAATTTATGGCAATTATGTTAAATAAACAAGTAGAGATTGTTTGTGCTCCAATTAATTTTCTTCCTTAATGTGTGTATACATATGCAACATGTGCTAGGACTATATGCTATTGCACATAATTTCTATGTGTTTGCAATATCTCCCCGTCGTTTGCACACCTTCCTTCTTGATAGCTCTAAAATTGAAAAAAAAAAAAAAACGTGCGCAAATAGTGCAAGCAAATACTGTAGTTGGCATCAGGCTTTGTCCTATTTGTTTATTTATTAGACTTGCCTCTCTCGGTGAAGCTTAGCATATTTCGTTTCAGATGAAAGTCTGTGCAATATGAAAACCGCGCTCCGTCATGATTTTCGCATTGTGTTATGATCTTCACAGACAGTGCTGAATAATTTGTTTCTCTTGCATTGCTTGTTTTTGCATTCAAAGACTGTGCAGTGGGGCCCCAACTAGTTCTTGCAAGTGGGAGCGGAGTTAACAGGTGCCTTTTTCGCAATTTGAAGTCCCAGAGCTGCCGTTTGCCACGTTAACTTTGCGCGAGACATACATGCCTTCGCAGTCCAGAACAAAATAGTGTCTGGGTGCGAGAGTATGCCGCCGGGTGCTTAGGCGCCTGGGTGTGAGGTAGGCGTGCTCTTGCCTCACAGTGCTCACACAGAACTGTAAGCTCGCAAGACTAGCCACAGCGGTCTAATGGTTATGGCACCTGACCGCTGACCCACAGGTCGCCGGGCGCGGCAGCTGCATTTTCAATGGGGATCTTCGATTTTCGGTCTTCTGGCAGCTCTCCCGCAGTCAGAGCTAGCCAGAGGGTCAGCCAGCCAGTTCCAATCGGGACAGGAAACAGTGTCGTGGTCACGTGTGTGGGTAATCTGTTGCAACCCAAAGCTGCCTGAAGATTGCAAAATTGAATGCTGGGACAGCCAGCGTAAACATAAACGTTGCCGTCGTGGCAGCAAACGAAACAGTGCGCCGCATGCGCGTAGGTTTTTTTCTGCGTTGTCCGCTTGGAAATGCGTGGCTAAGTTTGCCGAAGAGCTGGAATCTCGAGTGTACGCATTTTGGGCGTACGACTGCGTGCACTCGCAAGAAAACTCGCTACTCGCCCTGTCTGCAAACGAAACATCCAGCTGGCACACGGCACCCCAAGAACAATGCAAGGGTGAGCTGCTGCTCCGCTAACGGCTTAAAGGGGTACTGACACAAAATTTCGGTGCCGAGATAGCCTGCGGGGTCGATTCTCGTGAACATTCATATATCATCTGCAAGATATCAACAGCGAATATAGCTTGGAAGGTATTTTCAATTAATTTTGAAGTTTGCATGAGCGACCAACTCCATAGCGCCATAGACACCATCGGAGGTGACCCCTAGGTGACCCCCTACTTCCCTCACGTCACCACGCTGCCTTCAACCAAACAAGTTATGATGACGTCATAGCCGCCATTTTTCTTTTGCCGCGTTAGTTCCCGAAGTCTATATTTCTCGGCGGCTGGTTGCGAGTGCGTGGCCGTGGCGCATGCTTAGAAAGTTCTGTGTGGCGACATTCCAGTCCCGTTTCCTATTCGAAAGTAATTCTTTATGCGGATCGTGCGAAAGCGCGTCACAGTTTTGTGTGCTGACGTGGTCAAGAGTTGCACACGCAAGGTGGCGACAGTTGCACCCAGTTTTTGGAACTCTCTCAAACCGAAACTGAAGCTGATTCATAATGAGGGGCCTGTAATTGATTATCTATCGCGTGCTGCAACAAACCATGTGTCGTGTCATGACTAACAGCCCTACAGCAACGCATTGCAGCAGAAAAACGCAAGGCCAAATTTTTTGTGTCAGTATCCCATTAACAAGGTCACGTCTTCTTAGTACATGTAACAGTCACTGCACAAGATGACGCAAAATGCCGTGAAACTGATCGTGTCCCAAAATGACCTCGAGGATATATACCTGTGCAGCTATCGCGCAGTATACATCGCAAACACGCGTTGACCAACTTGCATTTTTGTCTCAACTTTAGACATGCAGTCGTATCAGTACCACGAGTGCACTTCTGCATGATGCGTTTTCGACTTGTTTTGGCCTGGGCCTATTTTTTAGTGCTAAGTGGCACTTGACAAAATCTTATGTTGCTGAACTTTAATTTGAGCTACTAGGTCATAACCATACATACTGCACAGCATTATTGATAAGAGGTGGGAAAAGATAAAGCCGACTATGAAATAGGCAATGAAAGGATGTATACATTTTTTAATCTATATCCGTTTTTTTTTTCTCGTGTCGACGCATCGTAGCATAACAAAATACCATACCATAGATCAAAGAACGCTCGCACGCTGTTCGCAGCCAGCGAGCATCGCACATGTTAAAAACTACAGTTGCGATCTCTATTATTGAATCATCATATCACCATCGAAGACTGAGTGGTCAAGGTCCAGAAGGTTCAGGCATGCAGACATACGATGGAGCGAGCTAGTTCGACCACAATCATTCTCGCTAAGTGCACAAAAAACAGGCACAGAGCCATCAACGACTACTACGAAATAAATAAGACCGAAAGTTGTCTCCACGTTGTGTACGAATGTGTACATAAATTTTGAGGCATGTGCACGATGCAGCAGGCAACAGTTCGTCGCATTGTTCACGGAAGGAAGCCTTACTGGGAACATAACTGAAGCGTTAACCAGTAGCTTCAAACACTCGCCGCCACTCGTAATCACCCCATCTTGCACGGCCGACTTCAAAAAATAATGCCACGCGTAATGACAAGCGAAGGCACAGTCCCCAAGCGCTCGTATTGCAATTCACAAAGATGGCGGTGAGCACGTCTTGTATCTTTTCGGCGTCTGCTGGCCCAAAACGTGCCCAAAACCTTCCAGAGAGCTTCCATGACTGAGTTGTCCTGGACGCTTCTGGCGACTCTCGGGCTACCTGCGGGTAGCCAGAACCATCCACCCCGAGATAAAGGAATGGCAACAGAGAGCGTGTAGCGGGGGGGGGGGGGGAGAGAGAGAGAGAGAGAGAGAGAGAGAGAGAGAGAGAGAGAGAGAGAAAATCGACAAAAAAGAGTGCTCTCTGGCTGGCTCTGGCAGCCCGCGGGTGAGCAGAAGTGGAAAATCGAAGAGCCTCAGTCCAATAAACGAAATCACTTAAGGTTGGTGTGCTCAGAAATAGGTGAACCTTAAAGAACCTCAGGTGGTAGAAATTTTTGGAGCCTTCTACTGCGGCTTCTCTCATAATCATATCATGGTTGGCATGTTAAACCTCGGAATTATCATTGGGAGCTTGTGACGTCGCCGAGGCATGCCAGTCAAGTTTTCTGACTTGTCCCAGAAACACCTGAATTTAATATGATCTCCTAAATGTAGGGGCGCGGCCATGCGTCTCTCTAAAACAACCTTGACCCCACCACCACAAGAAGAAAATAATAAAAGGAAGTGGTTAGAAAATTGTCTGGCCTTAGTGTATCACTTGTGGAACGCTTGTTAAGTAAATTTTATCACAGTACATAAGTGCCATACTGAAAAGCATACTGAAATATAAAATGGGGTACAAGCTGTAATAGGTCAGTTCACACACATATGGCTGGTAATGACTCACTTGTGCATGCATTGTTTAATTGCTGACATGTATAAACTTTACTGGCCATCATTCAGAGCTGCTGTGATGCTGCTGCAGCGCTGAGAAACCATAAATACAAATATGTGCCACATTTTTTTTTTGTCATACCTTGCCTTTCTTCCCCACATGAGAAACAGATCCTAATTTCGAGGTTACCAGGTTGGAAGTCACACTTCCAACCTGGTAACTTGGTAATCGAGGCAACACGTCAACGCAGAAAATTGCTATTACTACTAAGGACAGCCAGGGCTGCTGCAGGGAATGCCGCAAGGATCATTATCGCACATGGGCAGCCTCACCGTGTGACCATCTTGCTGTAGATTTTCTTACCTAAAAAAACAAAAAAAAAACTGGTGCAATCCGGGCATTTTATTAGAAAGGGAGTGCTAGAGACTTGTGTGCTGTGCGATATCGGCGCATGTTAATGAACTCTCGGCTTGTCCGAAATGTTCAGCGCCCTCCACTATTGCGTGTTTCATAATCACATTTGCGAGTTTTCGCTCTTGAAACTCCTGAAGATATTATTAATATAGCACTTTTTTTTTTGCCCTGTACAGGACATTCTCGACGCCCAGTGCAGTATTCTATCATGCCTGCAAGGTGCACATATCGGAGGTCGACAATGACGTCCAGTGTCAATGGGACTCGTGCGACGACATGAAGCGGCGCAGGCTCTCGCTGTTCACGCACCTGCAGGTAAGCTGTGCCTCGTGGGGACTACTTGTTCAGTGAGGCTAGCTAGCACTTCTGTGGGGCTAGCTGCTCGTCCTTACGAAGGTGTTCATTAGCTGTGCCAATATTTGTTGTTTATCAAGAGCGTCGCCTTGAAGGCATTTCCAGACCAGCTTTAGCGTAGCTCTGAAGGTGTTTAAATGCATGCCAAGTGTGACTTTCCTACATGCCAGGAGCGTGTGGTAAGTACTCTAAAACTTCAAATTTTGATAGTCTACTGAATCGATGGATTGAGATTGACTGCAGTGTTGCTGTTGTAGCAGCAGGTAGCCAGTGGGGAGGTCGTGGCAAAGCAAACAGTTTGCTAACATCCTGTTTAAGTTAGTAAATCTGGAAGTCGTTAAAAGACGATGACTATCGTAGACAAGTTTAATTCAATCCGAAATCGACATAAGCATCGTCATGGGTGGCCAGGTGCTGTGCACGATAGGCTTTGCACAAATGGCTTCACAAAGGCTTTGCCGAAAGCGCTCTGCACAAAGGACCTTGCACAAAGCGTTGTGCACTTTTGACCATGCGAAGAATTGATGTCGAGTTGGTATGTTTGGTGCGCAGGATCGGCACTGCAACGAGCAGGTGCTACAGATCCAGGCAGTTCGGCGGCAGCAGATCTCGCAGTTTGGCAAGGCCTCCTTGCCACCACCAGCGCAGCCGCCTCCGCACCCTGGTTACGCGCCGGATGCTGCCTTGCTTGCCATCCGGAGACATGCCCTGGCCTATTACAACCACCGCGACGCCTCGGTAAGTGGAGTTGATTAAAAAAAAAAAACTTTGGTGTGATAGTGAATTTTTCATAAATTTTTTCACCCTTGTATTTAGCGACACTTCTAAATAATGAATTGCAAATTTCAAAAAGTTGCTCGCAGCAGTGTAAGCAATGTGCAGCTTTGTATGCATTGCTATCATCCTCATAAAAACGCCCACATATTTCTTTATGCGCCTGTCCTAATCTAAATGTGTGACAGCCTTATTGCAGTCACTGTCCTCTGTTCTTGTTTTCCATTTTTAGGCTTGCTTCGTTGTCTATGTTTTGTCAGACAGGTCTTGTTGCACGGCGGTTTTGCTCGGCTGTGCACAATAACAAGCACAATAACAAGCGCTCGCTCTCACCTAATGCGCGCCGTGTGTTCTGCCACCGCTTCGCGCTGAGTCAGGTGGCGAGGCACATGCGGAAGATACAGTCGAGCCCGCTTATAACGAACCTGAGCCTGACTCTGCATCCATTCGCTGCATCCAGAAGTTCGTACTCAATGAAACACTGCTTTTAAAAAAAGTTGCGAGTGAAAACACAAAATTTTATGCCCAAAAATGTCCGTGATGCACGTGTTTCTAAAAGTAGAAGCGATAAGGGCGGTCTCGAGTTTATTTTAAATGCAGCGTGCTCTTCGCCGAGGCCTGTGGCGTAAGCTGCATGAGGTACTGGCTCAGTTTTGTTGTTCTGGCAATCCTGATTCCTCCAAAAAGGCCCTTGCCGCGTACTTCATTCACAATGCCCTAATTCGTGCACAGTTCCGCGGTGTTGGCATCACCATCGGCCGTAATGAAACTATCACAACAGATGTCCCACCCACTCTCCCATGTCGGAGTCGACGCGCTGCCACAAATCGCCGCCACAGTAGTCCTGTTCGAAAGCTTAAGGCTCGACGTCGACCAAGTCGGCCTCTTGAAAACAGTTTCACGCGCATGTAAGCCAGTCACCGCCGCCGACGCAATGTTCGCCATCTCCACAGCTGAATACCGGGACCCCCTGAAGCGGGAAGTTGGCTGCCAGGTGGTCAACAGCTATGAGCAAGCTGATTCGCATCGCAGCACCTATCACGCGGATTAGGCCAAAGCCAAGCGGTCAGCACTTTCGACGTTTTGTTGAGCAGCAGGAAAAAAGCCTGCAAGGCCTCCCGTCCGCCATCCTGACCACACACGCACACCGAGAGCGAGCAAGATGCGCACACGGGACACACATTTTAGAACACGTGGTACCGCTCTGGGCCCGTTTCTAGTCAGAAAACAAAATTCGAGCCAGCGTGGCTGGTGTTGTGAGATTGTGGAGGTGGGCGAAGGAGTTGTGATCAAAAGAGGAGAGCAGATTTGCGAGAGAGGGGCAAGGATTTGCGATACAGTGAAGAGAGGGGAGGATATGGCGTGAAAGCGACCTTGAAAACCAAAACACGCGGGAAGGAGGCAGGTCGGGTAGCTTGCTTGAAAAGTCTGCGAAACTCGCAACTCACGAGTAGAAAAACTTGAAAGAGGACCTGCGTGCACAGAGGTCTAAAAGCACGACCGCCTGGATCAGCGCGCGCGGCGGTGTGCAAAGAATCAGCGACTGCGGTCAAAGAATCGTTTTGTTGCACAGGCGAGTTTGTGTCGCCTCACCTGACTTCGATATTTCGTGATTTGTTCCACGCAAATTAACAGTCGTTTTCGGGCTTCACGCGTGCGAGGGAATGCTCAGCTGAGTGCAAAGTGAGTGAGAGCAGGTCCTAAACAGGAAACGAATCGCGAATTATCATAGTGAATGGGGTAGCGTATGCGCGTGCACTAGAACGATACGATAAGACAAGACAGAGACGATCGGATACAGATGATGTTGGCAAATGGTCAGGTCACTCCAGGCCGGCAACGCCAACAACAGTACCAGCGAATAAAAACAAAGGAAATGGCCGACCGGTCTTCGAGAGGTCCGTGGCAGTGTGGCTCAGAGTAGCGGGAGGACAAAGGACGGAGGGGTGCGTTACAAAAGGCGGTCGAGGAGAGCAGCAACTAGAGGGGCGCGGAGGCTGGGTCGGTGTTTAGCAATAAGAATCTATCGGCACCTCGCCGATGCCTGATCGGTGGTCGAAAGTGGTTTCCCGGGAAGTCGGCAGAGCGTCGAATCTGTTCGCTTTAACCGATCGGCAGCGCACGGAGACGTTCGTTGTAAGTGTGATTTTGTGTCATTAAAACAATGTGTATTTTCACGGTCACGCGGATAATGTTCGTTTTAAGCGAAAGTTCGTCTTAAGTGGGGCCGTCTTGTGTGGGCTCGATTGTACATGCTCATAGCAAAATGCCAAATTTTGGAGCATAATTTCTAGTTTGTCTGTGGGCAAAATCTGTGGGCTTGTGCGAATATTTGATGCTTCGAATATTTGAGCGAATAGTAGGGTATTCAAGTTCGCTTTGATTTGAGTATAAATTATTGAAAGTTTCGAAGTATTCGTAAGGAACGAATGCATATTAATCTGAATGTACCGCTCGTAAAGGTGGTTTCACTGCGATTTGAGGGTGCTAAACCCTGAAAGCACCTATCCAGGAGAAATTCGCCTTGCCGCGAAGTCTCCCTTCAAACTTAAAGAGGCCCTGCAACACTTTTTGAGCATTGTAAGAAACCGCTGCTGATCGGTAGTCGAGGCTACCGAGGACACGTAAGCCAGACATTATAGCGCAGCACGCAGCGTGCAATTCACAACAAATTCTCAAAGTCAGCTGGAAATCGATCTCTTCTCTCGGCAAATGACTCCACAAGCTCAGAAAGCACGCGTGACATATTTTCTTTCCTCGTGCTATTTCTTCCGGCTTAGCTTCCAGCACTTTTGTCGGGACGAGAAGCGAGAACTCACTTGCAGCATGCGACAAATCTTCGCAGCTTCGCGCGTACTGGAAGGATTCTAAAAATTTTTGGACGGTGAATTCATGAGACAATAAGCTTCTTTAGTCAATCCATTCCATGGCTCCTTGAGAAAGTGTTGCAAGGCCCCTTTAAATAAAAATATTACCTTCAAATCAATTTCATTTTATTAAGCTTAAAAGCTTGTTATGACGGCTTAAATGCTTCAAGTATAATAAACATAAAAATGTTACATATTATAAGGATTATGACTCGCATCCTGCCAAAAGTCAAATCCTGCTACTACTCAAAGTTGATTTAACTTCTTTTAAACAAAACAAAATGGCATTACATAGAGGCCCTATTTCAATATTTAAATAATATTGTGTAGGTTAGTTAGGTCATAATAAATATACCCATTTTTGTTCATATGTCATATGTACTATTCAAATTCGATTCGAAATGATTCGACCAAAATTACTATTCACTTCAAGTTCGCTTTGAGCCTGAAATTCACTATTCGCTCAAGCTTAAGAATTTGTTATTTCAAGATTATCTCCTGCTGTTACTTTGTTAGATGGGGGTCACAAATACATGTGCTTCTACTGAGCAATGGCAAGGGAATAGAGAAAGCGTTGTTATATATGGAATTCGTTGCATGGAGGTTTGTTGTAAACAGGTTTAACTGTATCAAATTTCATTGTATCAACTGTCATCCCACTGCTGTGTCTATGTTTCTTTGCTCAAAAGCTTAAGGGATCTAACCAACCCAGCCTCTGCCGTGCATGGGTTGCCTTGTACAAGTAGCTCTAACGATCTAGCTAACCAGACCACTGCGAAATTTGCTCAGTAGGAAACTTTGCGTCTCGCTTCATTCTTTGTGTCTCTGAGTCCAATGTCAGTGACAGTGATGTTGTTTGCAGGATGAAAAGGAGTCTGCATTGGCCAAGAGTATACGGCTCACTTCGGCCCTCATCATACGGAATCTCGCTACCTATTCGTCGCGAGCAAGACGGTGAGTGCGGTCATGCAGTTTCGCCCAACCACCGCTGACACGTATGGTCGTCTCAGTTTTGGAGCTCCGGGGGGTCATGCAAGAAAAATGTCTTAAAGATAGGTGCATTGTGACACGTGGTTTATTTTTTACAACACTCAAGGGGCCGGACAGCCACATGCACAACAGATAAAGTAGAGTAAAATCTCTGAATAAACCCAGGTGATACGAATAGGGGTCTTATACGAATTCATAAAATTCTCTGGCCAAATTCAGTCTTGCTTGAGGGGTCAAAATTTGGGTTTTCTGAACTCCCAAATTTGAGTACTCTGATACGAACTTTATCATGGAAACCATTGAGCAATGCTTGATAGCTAGCATCCTCCAAAAGCTTTGAAAGTATGTGCACATCTTATGCACACAAAGTCAAAACTGCAATTGTAGTTTGCTGCAACCTCTTTGGATGAAGCCACAGTGCTCTCGACGCGATAATGTGTCAACAACGTAACCGAAAGTGCACATGCGTCCAACGTTCACAGAGTCTAAAGTGATTGCCATGGACAAAATCATGGTAGATGTGACTTTAGACCTTCTAGTTTTGAATGCACATGTGTGGCCAGTGCTCGTGGATTAAAAACGGAGCTATTTTTTGCCGCAATCGCAGTTGCTATCAACGCACTTTTCAATAGTGGCTATGCAACTCTTTAACAAGATTTGTAATCTGGGCTTGTTGTTAATGCATTTGAAGAATTTTACGTAGGGCGAGGCAAAATGCGTACCGTAATTACTAGAATCTGACGCGCACCTTTTTTCTGGTTAAGCGAGTTCATAAATCGCATGCGCGTTAGAATCGAGTACGAAAAAAAATGAATACGGTCATTTTATTGCCATCAGCATTCCAAAATGGCCGCCTCCTACGTGCGTCGGCATGGTGCGTCGGCCATTTCTGCTTATGTGTTTCTCATGTGCGGCACTTCGTACGTGTACTGAGGAGTTCGTCATCTTGTAGTGCATTAGCATCGACGGCATGGAAGGGCCGACTCCAAAAACTCAACGAGTGCACCACGATGCCGCTTTTAAAAGAAAAGTCATCGCATGTGCTGAAACGGACGTAAATCGGGCTGCATCGCGGTCGTTCGGAGTTCCCGAAACGTGCGTGCGGGACTGGCGGAAACAAAAGCAGAATGTTGTCGACAGCGAAGATTCACGCAAAGGCTTCAGCGGACCACAGTAGGGTCGGTCTCCGCAAATTGAAGAGCTGCTCGGCGAGTATGTGATTGAGCAGTGAGCGGCACAGCGGCCTGTGACGACTAGAACTGCTCCAAGTGCAGGCTATGCAGTTAGCCTTAGAAAAAGGGCTAATGCGGAGCCAGTTTAAAGCCAGCAGGTGCTGGCTAACTAACTTTATGAAGAGTAAAGGCTTTTCCCTCTGAAGACGAACGGGCATACGCCAAAAGTTGCCGGAGCAGTACGAAGAAAAGCTTCAGTTTTCAGAGGTTCGTCCTAAACTCGCGGCACATAAGGGCTCCCTGCTAGAGAAAATCGGGAACGCCGATCAGACGCCTCTTTACTTCGACATGCCTGGCACCACAACCGTCAAGAAGAAGGGGGCGAAGCAAGTTCGCATGCTGACATCGGGCTACATTAAAACTAGAGCGATGGCAATGCTCCGTTGCACGTCAGATAGGCACAAGCTTCCCCCATACCTCATATTTAAACGGAAGACGCTCCCAAAAGGAGTCTTTTTCCCGAGTGGTGTGATCGTGTGGGCCAACGAGAAAAATGGGTGCGCGTTGCAATCGATGTCTTACTTTTTTTTTTTTTTCGTTGTGAAAACCCGGTGCGCGTTACAATCGAGGACGCGGTAGAATCTAGTAAATACGGTAAGTAGGAAAGGTGCAGGCGTACAAAACAAAGCCAGACATTCTCTCTGAAGTTAAGCTGCTAGTGCAGCAGTAGAATAAAGATAATAAATTCGTAAAAAGGCACAATGCTTTTCAATGTTTATGACATTCAATTAATGACTATGTTGGAGTGGACTTCGATGTTTAATTTTCAGTTGACCTCGGGCTAAGCTCTTATGCATACGTTTATGGCTTGCAGCTGCGTATTCCTTTATTGATCGTTTGTGAGAGTCCCAAAAACGCATACGTAAGCTGTTTCAGTGGCAGTAAATGTCTTCTGCACATATTGTGCTTTATGAACTGATTTAGCTAGTTTTATTTCTTTCTTGTATGAAATTTTGGGTGATACGAGTAATGTTGCACTCTAGTATGGCATTCTCACATTTGAGCGCATTATTTGTTTCTTTAGGGACACATTGTGCTTTGGTGCTAGGCGTGAAGAGGTACACTTTGGTTGTAATCATGAACGTGTCATTGTGCTTGCTTGTTGGTAAATACAGTAATACTTCTTTAACTTGGAGTTGTAAAAACCAGAGAAAATTTCGAGATAAATGGATTTTCGAGACAAGCAAAGTCGCACTGATTGCATGGAAAAATGAGCGCTTTTCAGAAAAACGACTGCTACTTAGAGGCTCTTCAGGGGCAGTTTCTAATACTTTTTCTTGTGCAGGTCTAAAGGAGAAAAAATAACATACAAAAATCTTTAAGGCGTTCTCCAGCTGTTTGACACATCGCATCAGTCGATCCCCCCCCCCGATGCACTTGACCTTATTTCAAAGTATGCGCAGCAAATTTTATCGTCTCAAAAGATGTTGGCACCTCTCAAGGTTGTATGTCATCGTTGTCGTCTCCGCCGTTCTCTACGTTAGTGGCCGTTTGAACGATTTCATTTCTCCGGTCACCAAAAAAGTCACATTGTTTTCAGCAGGACTGTTACTTGTAAGCTTGATGACCTCTTGAAAAAGTTCTTTACAGTGCTCTGCTGAAATCCACCCAGCACATTCTGCTTGTTTTTCAGCATTGTCGCAAGCATAGACAAAGGGATGCAGAATTTCTGTGCGATGTTCGATTTCGTTCAGCCTTCTTTCTCCACCTCACTTAATTAGGCAACCTTTTTTTTCTAGCCTTAGCAACTTGCACTGCTTTGATGCCATGATTGCCGCACTCAGTCAACGAAAAATCCATACCGCTCAGTTTGCGCAGAAATCAATCCTCGGGGAAAATCATGTGCAGTGCACAAAGCGAAAGAGACAAACTACGCCAAGTAAGCGTGGGCAGAGGGCCTCTTCCTCAGTGCATGTGTCACCTGACGTTTCACAGGGTTGCTTGACAGTGTTGTGTGCCTGGGCTGAAACTTTGCGGACTTCGCGTTTGCGGAAAGTATCGATGTAGTTGAAGGCATGGCAAATAAGAAAAAAAATAAAAATCTACAGACTTCAGGCATGGCAGCATCGCGCAAATCTTGTGAAATGGCCTGGCGGCGGAATTTTAGTTCCTCTCCAGGTCAAGATTTCACGTTATCCGCACTCCAACCGAAAAATATACATAGGACGTGTAAGAAAATGTTCGGGGCCGCGGAAAACTTATACTTAGCAGAGTTTTACGAGATGTGCGAGTTCGATTCAACGAAGTATTACTGTGGGTTCAGATCTTCAAAGTTTTTTCTGTGATTATATCATATTTTGTGACTTGAAATCAACAGCTAATGTCACATAGAAATTGTAGTGTGCAAACTTCTCTCAGTCTCTTCTTCTTGTGTGCCATTGTGATCTAAAGTTCACATTTGCGAGCACATTTTGTTCAGTTGTTCTTACCTACTAACGCCGCTAATGTATTTGTCATGCATAGTGGACGATTTTTTGTTTGAAGTTGATTGATGCCAATGTGAAGGGATTTTGCTGCTGCGATGTAATGGGCTATCTTATTTTGACATGGCATCCTGGCCTAGGTGGCCGCACTTGAATGGAGACAAAATGCTGGAAGCGACTGTGCTTAGATTTTGATTTTGGGGCAAATGAAAAAAAACCCCAGGTGGTTGGAAGATCCGGAGCCCTCTACTACAGCATCTGTCATGATCGTATTGTGACTTTGGTGCGTGAAATGCTAGCTATTCTTGTATGCCTTGGCATACTATGGTGGCTAGTGGCCGAGATGTCTCGCTTGTGTAGCACTAAAGTGCGGCCTCCATTTTCAGCTTCGCTGGACGTGTTTCAGCAGAGTAAAATGCAGAAACTGCTACGTTAGGTGCACATTAGAGAGGCCTTGCAACACTGTTTGAAGTAGCCATGGAATGACTTCATCAAATGACTTTATTGCCTGACAAATAGACCTCCACAAAAGTTTTTGATGTCTGTCACATACGAGTGATGCTACAGGACTTTGTCGCAAACTGTAATTGCTTTCTTTCTTCTCTTGTCCTGACGAGCACGCAGGCTGTTGCTAGGCAGGAAGGGATGGCAACGGCAGGAACAAGTTACGTCACATGTGCACTTATTGTCTTTTTTCTTTAAATCACAACTTACTGTCAGTGTGATTGTCAGGGTGGGCACATGGCGACATCTTGTGGTGACCACAGGAACTATGTAGTTTGTGATGCTGGAATTAGGCAGTGATTGTGGTGCTTGTTTATGACATTGTTTGGATAAAGTAGAGGGAACGATCTAGAGGTGACTTTGAGAATCTATTATGAATTCCAAGCCGTGTGCTGCTCTGTAATGTTTGGCTCGCGTGTTCTCTCGAGCCTCAACTACCAATAGTCGGCTTTCTCCAACCATACTTAAAAATTCTTCAGGTCTCCTTTAAAAAATCCTGGTTAGTCAAAATGAGCATGGTATCGTCCAATATGTCCCTTCCATAATCTTAACTCGTTTTTGACGCTTACAAGCTTTTGATTACCTAAACTTCTTGCTTTTGCAGTTACCTACGGCGGTATGAGCAGCAGCTGTCAACGGTGGCCATGTCCCCATTAGAGTCATCACGGACTATTGCCCAGTGCTTGCTTGAAATGTCGCGGGTGCCGACACCGGACTGAACAAGCACCGAATGTGGGGTAGAAAAAAAAAACAATACTATGCGACGAAGCTACTGCGGAGTCGTGCCACGCTGGAGTGATTGCGTGTGTAAATCGTACCGCCCACCACTGGTGCAAGAGACTTAGTGTTGTTCGCAAGTGTGGTGTTGCACGTGGTGAGGCAGTGAAGGAAAGGACTTCGAGATAAACTGCGGAGGCAACGTCGCGATCGGCGGCTCTCGACAGCTCGTGACAACCGCTTGGTGGACTTTCGAACATGTACAGACAGAAAAGGTGGAAGCGTGCGACGGAGCAGCGGCGTTGTGCCGGAGGAGGACGTGAATAAAAAGATCGGACATTTTATGTGACGAAGACGAGCATTCGCGCCAGTGAAAGAGCAAGAGAAACTTCCCTACGTGCCTCGATCAAGTGACGGTGGAAAAAAGTGTTTAAGCCCGTTACGTCTACATTTTTTTTCTCTCTCTCTTTGCTACCTTTCGTCAAGTAAAGCGTTGTGTGGTGGCAGCAGGACAAAAGTGACGTCGGCGTCATATCAAAATGTAAAACAGGAAAAGCAAAATTTTCTCGCATGCCATCTCTTTCGAAACATTTTTTTTTGTTCATGTGGTACTGAAACATTCTTCTTTTGTTTTTCCTTCATCTTCTTGCATTTTTTTCCAACAGAGTTTTGTCCGTTTCCTAGTTGTGCTTCGTGTGCGAGAGCAAGAGGTTGTCACTTCGTGTGGGCAAATGCAAACTCGTGGCCACAGGACCGATAAGAATGGGGATTAAGCGAGTTTTTTTATTTTAAATCGTCCTTGTTCGCAGACTTGCGAAAGACCTGTGCTGTGTGTTACTGGGAGATAAACTCTCTTCCTTTGCATTGTTTTTTTTTTTGTTTTGAAGTGGTCTGCTTTTCACTCAGTCCCACTGCGTTCGGTCATCGTTCGGTCATCAGAAGCATGGTTCATTTGCCGGTTTTATTTAAAACTTTATTTATCGTCACATAAGGGAGGGACACGCATAAAAAAAGCCATAATTTTGATGCACTGTACTCTACCATCTTGTTCCTTCGACCTGACGTCATGTGCTGGTTCAGCATCTTAAACATCCCAGTGTGTATCTTTTTTTTTTCTTGTTACTGCTCGGCCATTCTTCAAAAATAGTTTCCAACGTATGCATTACAGGCTGCTTCGTGCTATCATGTTCGATTCTGTGAGTGTGCAGTTTATAATTATGTTGAAAAATTTGAAAGGATTGTGTTGATAATTAAGTTTCAACTTTGATGGCTGCTGCATATACTAAGATTCAAGATTTACGAGAGCTGTGCAGAGAGTAGCATGGATGTCAGATTGAGCAGATACATCGTTCTTGCTTACTTTTTTTAATTGTGTGCGAGACGACTAATTTTCTGAAAGAATAAAAAGGTTATCTAGATCAACTAATCACCCTGATATTTTCATGCTTGTGTATGAACAATTTCAAAGTTTTTTGTGTCTTTTTGCTAATTTTGACCTTTACGGAGGAGGAGACAAGATGTCATTGCCTTCGCTTTGTGCACTCCAGTTTATTTCATAATACACAGAATTTATGTTTTGTATGTTCACGTCACTCTCACCTCTCATTTAAACAGTTTTATGCAGCATCCTTCCCCTGTTCATCCTACAAGGTGAAAAGCTTGAAACATTCAATGCATAAATGCAGAACAGTTGCATCATATTATTATTGTAGCGCAGAAAGTCAGCACCTTTGCATGACCAATTACAGCATGTTTTGTCTTGGTGAATTTGCATGGATCTGCAGTGGGCCTGAATATTGGGAAACTTGTGCTCTATCTAGACGTGGCGGTCATGTTGTTGAGCACACCTTGAACGCTTTACTCTGCGATTCCACCACAAACAAACAAGGCTGCCTTGTGGTTGACGTCGATTAGCTCACCGGTACTGGTAATGCACCTCAAGTGAAAGCTGGACTTTACAACTCTTATGGAGAACTCATGAACTCTTATGGAGAATTAGCTGCCTAATTCACAGGCAACCTAATTATGTGTGGGGCACAAAGCGGCCTGTTTCACACCTGAAGTTGATGGGCATGGCTGGCACGTGTTTTTTCATTTAGCATTGCTGTCAGGCAATTGCCGAAAGAAGTAAGTTTGAAACGTTGATCCTACGGGACACAAGAGAAGAGACAAACAAGCGTTTGTCTCTTCTCTTGTGTCCCGTTGGTTTGCGCTTCCAATTATTCCATTATGAATTTGTACCAACTAGCCCGCCTGTCAACCCTATTGAAACGTTGAGCTTCATTGGCTACTCTAAAGCGCTTATGTTTGAAAAGTGCTGCGCAAGAAATGTTCAACATATGAATAATATACTCCTGTTGTGTTTATTAATTAAACAAAATGATTCCTGAGCTATAATCTAAGAATTGTGTTTTTCTGGTGAAATCGTAAGGTTGTAGCGTTACTCCGTTTGAGTGTGAAGAAACAGAAGCCAGTGAAAAAGGGAAATGCAGATGGCAGGATGAGTGGTTATCTTTTCATCTGCATTTCTCTTTTTCACTGGTTTATTTATCTTCACTCTCAAAAAGAGTTGCGCTCTATAACCTCACGATTTCATCATGCACTAACTCACCCAATCTGCAGTACTCGTGTTTTTGCGAGTTACAGGAAAGCACTGCAGTTTGTGAGGTGTTTTTGGAGCAATCCTCTAGTTAACCTTTCACCCTGTGGTTCATTTAGGATTCATTCCAGCGACGTAGTGTGAAAGTTTCCAAGGTATAATTGAGTAATTTGGCTCTTTTAACAGCTCCCTGTAAAAGCATTGACTAGCGAGGCATGTAAACTAATGTGAACCAGTTATAACGTTGGTGCAACTGCATTGGTCGCTGAATGTAAGAATTGATTTGATATGTGGGGTTTAACGTCCCAAAACCACTATATGATTATGAGAGACGCCGTAGTGGAGGGCTCCGGAAATTTAGACCACCTGGGGTTCTTTAACGTGCACCCAAATCTGAGCACACGGGCCTCTGAATGTAAGAAAATGGCTGCGTGCCGGGAGGGCTGCCCCAAGGTAGACAAGGGACGTAGCTGGGTGCTGGTGAGGGACTAGCCACGCATCGGTGCTCATTCATAAATGAGTTTTTGTACTTTGGTGATGCCCCCTTTCCCCCCTTGGGCAATCAGGCTGATTTTTAAAGTGGAAATCACTGCAAAATTAGAATCATTTGACCAATGAAATAACTTCAATAGTTAAACAACTGTCAGAGTTATTTCATTTATCTAATGAGTTTAACTGAGTGGCATTTCCCGCACCTCTCATGCCTCAGTTACATTAGAAAGCGAGGCGTTTGTTAAATCAGCTATGAAATTATTTGGTGGCATTATCAAAAGCACTGTTTCACCGTAACACCCCTGTACTTGACTGTTTGTTATCTGTATTATAACGAACATTTGGTAAAAGGGAGGCGAAATACAAGTATCCTCCATGAAATTTATGCGGAATCATAAGGGCTTATTCTGTATCACACCTAAAATTGATACGGAACTCATACGGTATATTCGTATGGTATACAGGAATTTTTATTGGATCCTCTTAATAAAGTGGTGATATAATGGTGCAATATAAGTGTTTTATGATGTTTGTTCAATGATCATCGAGCAATGAATTTCGTAATGGACTTTCTTGGCTTGGGTCAAGAGTAAAGAATGGTCTCACAAAGGAGCTTAGTCTATCTGGCCATTTTAGATAAAACGTTGCAATGTTAGCTTGCTGCTTTACTTTGAAGCAGCACTGCTAATTCCTTGGTGGAATCATAGAGGACGATTGTGTTTGGGTGTGCTCTCAATGGTGGCTTTTGTGGCAAAATTAAAGGATGCTGCCTTTTCTTTTTTCAGCTTTGATTTGTGTTTTTTTGTGGCAGCTGCAGAAGGTAACAATCTACTGCATATTCTCAGTTTTATGCACTTTTTTATACATTTATTTCTGCTCAAACAAATTGATATGAAAATGGACGCTTGTTCATTTTGGTTTGTTTCTTGACAGTGTTCTCAAGTACCCTTGCCCTGTAAAAGCACTTGTATTTCGTCATTCCTCGTTTACGCACCACAATCTGAGCTCCCCAAAACACCAGTGCTTTCTAGACACTGCATTGGCATGGTGACTGACGTCCACACTTTGGCAGTTTCATTGTTTCTTGGATCACCTGTCTGAAGAAAAATTAATTTAAAACCATACGTGCCCTTGATATCTTCATTTTTTGTTTTTGCTTGTTTTCTCTATCTCTAGTAAAAGCTTCGTGCTGTGCTGTCACTGTAAAATACAGTTTCAAAATGCTTCACGTTTTGGGCAGGCTAACTTTGGAGGTATTGGAGAATGAAGGCGTACCTACATTGGCCTGTCGATGTCTTCAGTTCGAATCTCTGTGCTTTCTTTCTTTTCTCGCTTTATGTGAGCACCCCTGTTGTTATGTGAACCCAAGTATTCAGTCAGATTGGCAAGCCCTTGTAGTTGGCACCATTATAAATGTACCGTACTCCGAACCGCTCGTGTTCCGTACATGCCTATCTAACCTGTGTTGTTTAGTTTCATTGTCTGTACCGATGTGACAGATTGTTTTGAGTTCTGGCCATTCTAAGCTGTGCAGTAAAACAGTAACCTTCTGCTTCAACCACAGATGATAAGTACAACAGTTGCATTTTCTTGGCTGAGCAGAAAGGCTTACTCGACGGCCAGCTGCATGTCTGTAGAATAACCCATGAATTATTTTGTTCCAAATGTTCTACCTGTATATTGTGCTCATTGAATTCATCATTGTTTTTCTCCCGGTCGGTTTTTCTTTCTGTGCTGAAATGTATACAATGCAAGTGGATGATTTCGCATGTTCCCTGTGCTGTTCATTATGGAAGCAACACATACCTGATGCTGAGTCATGAACAAGAACACTATGGAAGGAAGCATCATAGAAAACGCAGACTGAAGTATTAAGGTGGCATGTTGAAGCGGGCCTCGGTAGCATCGGAATTTTTTTCTGGCACTTCCGATTCACCTGAACAGAAAAATTTTCCCGAGCTTGGTTGTATTGTACTGTCGTCCAAGTCACGTGTTTTGTTGAGTGAAATCTTCGCCGCACCCTTCGATTTTTTCGTTACATTTTTTTCGTTCTTCATTTCACAAATATGAAAGCCACTCTGCATCTTCGCCGCGTCTAAAATCATTGTCTGCGATGCCCACATTTTGAAAAGATTTCTCCCAGCGCTAAATATCAAGCGTGCATTCTTGTTCAAACCCTTTATCCTACACACCGCGTGTCCTTCTCCCCCTCCCTTGGACCCTTCGTCACTAACTTGTCTGGATGCACCAAGTTCACATACACATTATTGCAGGTAATATTATTGTATTATGATTGCCGCGTCTATTTCTGTATATATATATGCATACGATGATGATGAACGAGAAAAATTTATACACAGAGTGAAGAGAAATTGGTTAATAAAATGTTTTTTGGCCATCTCAGATGCTGTTCGCTTGGGCTCCTGATCTGCACGGGAGCTTTGGTCTTTTACCCTCCCTTTCTGAAGCAAGCATTAATGCGAAGGCTACCTTTACTCATGTCGCATTGGGTGCAATGCTGCCGCATGACTCGTGCCACTGATTTGCGCTTCAAGAATTGACACCTTGTGAAACAGTAATTGCACATGTGTGTTCAAGTTTATTTCTTGCACGATCAGCGTTGACCATGGACTAGCACGCTAACAATTTTTTCCTCATCAATGCTTGTCACTGCCTTTCGTTTCTTTAGTTTAATCTTTTTTTTCTGTACACCACAGAGGATAGAAAAAAACGCGAAAAACTGAGCACAAGTAAAAGGACGCAAGACAGCACCGACTTACAACACCACACAATATTTGTGTGCAGTCTCAAATGAAGGGAAAAAATAGTAAACAATGATAGGAACCATAGAACACTATGATAAAAAGAGCAAACTATTAGCAAGCATCACTGTTAACTTATAGAGTAAAGGATCGTTAACCCGGATCTCACGGGACCAGTGAAAATGTCCGAGTTAACCGAATTCCGGATTATCGAATGAACTATCAAAACAAAAGGAAAATGTACTCGTCACAAGCAAACCTTTATTTCATGAAAAGCTGCGTCAACTTATTCTGCCTCGTCATTGGAATTAGTGCTAGAACGATCTTCTTCAACCCCATGTGGTGGTGGTGGTGCGTGCACGCTCGTTCTCGCAAAAACTGATGCAGAACTCTTCGAGGACAGCGAGAGCTTCGGCGGCCTCCTGCACGGTGATGTCGCGTCGACTCATCTTGAATGTCATCATCGGAACAGCAACTCTAATCCTCCTCTTCAAGCACTTCTGATAATATGTCATCATCAGTCAGCAAACCAGCAACGGCCACGCCATCATCACGCGTACAAACACAGCCCGAGAACGTACGACGGTTTCTATGTCAAAGCGCCAACTCGCCCAACAGTCAACTCTTTTGATGTACCCTTGTTCCACACGCTATGTGCGAAATCACTACGCAGCGGCAAGGTTTTGTTTGGCGTTGCATACCTCAGTTCATAGCCTCCTCTATAACTTTGTGCCCGAGCGGTCGGTCCCTCAGCGCCGTCCCCCGAGCTATTATGGGATGCGAGCGCTCCTGGCGGAGCGCCGAGGCGCAAAACGAGAGAATGGATGGCAGCTATGGAGAAAAAACCGGCTTTGAGTAACTACCGAAAGGGCAAAAATGAAATAAGGAGGGAGGCATTTTACGATAATTCAAGGGGAAGCGCTTTACCTGTTTGAAGCGAGATCGGATTGCCTTAAAACGCGTAGTTATAAAGCAGATTCAGTAAAGAAGAAGAACAATGCACATGCTGCGGGAAAGATAAGGAAACGGCGGAGCATGTTCTGATTGAATGTGGAGATATCCACCCAGGTGTACTCCTGTATCCGTCAACTGAGCTCGTAATGGTTCTAAATTCTCTAAAGAATTACGCGGAAGTTTTCCTCGCAAGAGCGAGAAAGATGAATCAGCCACTGAAGGCTGCCGTTGACAACGCCGCGCAAATACTACAGAAACGTGACAAACTCAAGTGCTCGACCCCGGGACATCATAAAAAACTTTTGGAGGTTGTGCTCGTGAAGTTTCTCCGCCCACTTTTTCTGAACTTCGCGACGAGTGTGACTGACAAACACGACTTGGCAAAAGATTTTCATGTCAAACCATTGTCTCGAAAAGTGCTCAAGCTTTGAGCGCGAAATCAAATAACAAAGCTCACATTGCATTCTGCATACAGTGCTTGTGTTAAAAATTTGGTGTGTGCGCACTTCTTAACGTATACGCATAATCCAATGCAATGTAGACGGTTTCTAGACCGTCATAAACGCAAGCGTGCATAGGCCGCGTCGTCTGCTGTTATTATGGGATCGGTGCGGCATCTGGCGGCGAGCGCCAAAACTATAAGGGACGGATGGCGCGTATGTATTTAGCGCTAATGCGCGGGCACAAAAAAATATAGGAGGCTATGCTCAGTTGCAAGACTTGGGGGTCAGTGTTGCCAGACTGCCGCCAAATTTGGCGAAATATTTTGCCCCTGTAGTATTGATTTCTTTGTGAGGGCTTTGCATTTCGCGAGTGACGTTGGCCGTTTCAATTAATGGAACGCATCGCAGAAGTCGGGACGCCTTCTCTTGCTGTGTGCGCAGCTGTGCAAATAAGAGATCATGTCTCAGAGTTGGGGAAACGAAGTATCGTCCGCCGTTTTAATTAACGGGATGAAGCGCGCGTTGCAGAAGTCGGGGCGCATTTTCTTGCTGTGTGTGCAGCTGTGCATTAAGAGATCGTGTCTCGATCAGTATTAGGGACGACACGCGTGAATGCGGGGGGGGGGGGGGGGTGAATTTGTGAGCCGCGTTGCCGAAGCACGGATAATCTCCGTAGCTGTGCGTAGCTAATCGACTGCACACAACGACGCGTTTCTGCGGAAACTGAATAGAGTTCAAACGATGTCTTGTGCTGACAGCGCTACGGGAAGCGTAGCGTATCCGTCGTCGCGGCACGATCAGCTGTGCAGAGAGCCTACTTCTGAGTAATGATCCTCGGACAGGATCAGTAAAGGGAAGCACACCGCCTTCTGCTACTCTATTCAGTTTCCCCAGAAGATGCGTCGCTTTGCGCTTCAAGAATTGACACCTTGTGAAACAGTGATTGCACACGTGTGTTCAAGTTTATTTCTTGCTCGATCAGCGTTGACCATGGACTAGCACGCTAACAATTTGGGCGTCGCTGTGCGCATTCGACTAAGTGCGCACCGCTACAGAGATGTTCCGTGCTTCGGCGACACGAATGCGACGTATATTGAAGCGCGGCTCACAAAATCGCTTCCCCTTAAGGATTCATACGCGTCGTCCCTAATACTGAGACCACAGAACACCTATCAGCTGAGACACGATCTCTTATTTGCCCAGCTTCGCACACAGCAAGAGAACGCGCCCCGAATTCCGCAACACGCGGTTCATTCCGTTAATTACAACGGCCAACGTCGCACACGCGAACAAGTTAGTCGCACACGCAGTCGCGAAATGCGTGGCAGGCGACATGCACCACGAACCACGAATAGAGTTAATATACAGACTCTAGAGGAAAAGCTCCCCGTAGGGCCCATGCATTGAAACCTATCACCACCTGGGTGCCGCCATGATGGAACGATACTCGGCTTTCGGGCGACGTTCACTTGCAGTTGCCACTGCATGCTGCAATAACAGTTGTCATTTTTTTTTGTTTAGTTGACCTCTGTTACATCGCAGTATAATACTGTCACATTAAGTTAAGTTTTTGGCTCTGGCAACAAAAAACTCGCTCGGCGCGCAAGCAAGTCGGCGCGATCGGCCGCACTATGGTGCGGCACGCCGAATCACTCTACTCATGCTCTCCATTATACAAAAATGGTGGCGCCATCTACTGAACAAAGCTGCAAGCGCTCCTCTTCGCGCTCAACAAATTGTATAAATGATCATTTGATCTTGTGTAAAAACAACTCATAATATTTTTATATAATTTTTGTTAATTTTTAATACGTGAAAACGTTCTTTTACAATTTATATTACAAAGTTTGAATGTTTTGTTGTCGAAATTTAGTTTTTTGAAATAATGTAATGACAACAATGACAACGTTTCAAGATGTCAGCGTTCTGTTGCTTATAGACTAATAGTACAGCATAAAGAAAAAAAGTAGTACAGTCTAGTACGCTCTAGTTATAGCTTTTTTGGCCCAGCTTTTCCTCTAAAGTCTGTATATTAGCTCTATGGTCATCTGTTTCTTTTCTTTGACATTTGGTTGTGCTTTCAAGGTAAGTAGACCTTTATTTTATACGTGGGAATGAGATCCGCTGATAAACGTTTTGTTTTAGAGAAGCTTTATTTACGCAGTCGTATTCGCTTTCGGGCCGAAGCCTCGCTCAACACCAGCCAACACAAGCCTCGCAGACACATATACTATCTATCTAGTTCATTAAACATATATGGTATACCGTCATTCACAGCGCTATAGTGGCTAGAAAGTAGAGTGTACTAGAAGGGGGCAGTGCTATAGTGTAGTAAAATATGGGGCCCCATATTCTAGTACACTATAGCAGTGCGTGGACGAAGGAAAAATTTTTCCTTCCTCCATGGGGCAGTGGCCCATTGCATAGAGTTTCTTAATATACACTCTATGGTCCAGTGGGTTCACGAGTCACCATGACCCTAACCGCGTCGACAGATCGGGCGCCCGCCAGGGGCGCTGCCACCCGTTTCACCCGCTAGCGCCGAGGAAGCGCTAGCGAAGCTGAACAAAGAAGCGACCTACCGAGAGAACAGTAGGGAACCGGCAACCAGAACGGTGGAGAAGGAAAAGCAGGCAAGTTTGGAAAAAAAAAGGTTTAGCTGGTTCAACTGTCGCAAGGCCTAGCTTCAGCGAGGTAGTGGTGGGGCAGGGAGGGAACAAAGCAGCCGGCGTCACAGGTGCAAGTAGCCCCTAGGTGCAGAACGCTCCAGCTGAAAAGTCGCAGCGTGTGATAATCGCCGGGGACTCGAATTTAAATCGATGCACAGAAGCCATCAAAGAGAGGGTAAGAGGTGACAAGAGGGTTGCAGTAGGGGCGTTCCCCGGACGCAAGCTGGAAGCAGTCATGAGGCAAGCGAGCGCAAAGCTCAAAACGACAGCTGATAGACGAAACCTAGTGATAATTTCAGGCGGTTTAAACGATGTCCTAAATAGAGATGCAGCAGGACTAGCATCCACACTGGCGAAAGGCGTCGATGACATGCGCGCCACTTCTCCTAAGGTACAGGTAGTGATATGCACGATACCGGAGGTACCGGTGCGTGATAGCAACCTGCAAAGAGCGGTGGTCAACGCAAACCAAGAGATATGGCGGATGAGTCGAGAGAAAGGCTTTGAGGTGCTGGAAATAAACAGAGAGGTGCATAGGTGAGGGGGTTTTCAACGAGACAGAATTCGCTTCGATG